AAAGTATGGTGTACCAGGTCCATTTGAGTACCGGAAAAACGCTTTGCATGCATTTTTCATGGTGAAATAAGACTCTGGACAGCATCTGGAAATGGAAGAGTTAAAAAAAACATTTCCAAACGCAAACGCTTATAAACGGAGTTAGCCACGTTTAGACGTGTTTACAAGCGTTTGGCGTTTGAAACGCTGATAAAATCTACTCCTGAAGGCAAGTTTGGTGCGTTCAAAAAAAAGACTGTAAACTCAACTGCCTGTAAACGACATAGTGTACATGGACACATAGGAAAACATTAGGGAGAGTTCAGGGGCTACTGAAAACAAACTCATAAAAGCTCCTGAACGTGCGTTTATCAGCTGCAGTGTACATGGAGCTTTATAGAGCCTACACCTACCTGCACAGCGCCAGCAACTAATCCTATCCGGCACCTCAAACCTCAACCATCCTGGTATAGGGCACCCGTGTGCTCTCTTCTAGCTCACACCATCCTGGTATAGGGAACCCGTGTGCTCTCTTATAGCTCACACCATCCTGGTATAGGGCACCCGTGTGCTCTCTTCTGCCTCACACCATCCTGGTATAGGGAACCCGTGTGCGCTCTTCTAGCTCACACCATCCTGGTATAGGGCACCCGTGTGCTCTCTTCTGCCTCACACCATCCTGGTATAGGGAACCCGTGTGCGCTCTTCTAGCTCACACCATCCTGGTATAGGGCACCCGTGTGCTCTCTTCTAGCTCACACCATCCTGGTATAGGGCACCCGTGTGCTCTCTTCTAGCTCACACCATCCTGGTATAGGGAACCCGTGTGCTCTCTTCTAGCTCACACCATCCTGGTATAGGGCACCCGTGTGCTCTCTTCTAGCTTACACCATCCTGGTATAGGGCACCCGTGTGCTCTCTTCTAGCTCACACCATCCTGGTATAGGGAACCCGTGTGCTCTCTTCTAGCTCACACCATCCTGGTATAGGGCACCCGTGTGCTCACTTCTAGCTCACACCATCCTGGTATAGGGCACCCGTGGGCTCTCTTCTAGCTCACACCATCCTGGTATAGGGCACCCGTGTGCTCTCTTCTAGCTCACACCATCCTGTTATAGGGCACTCGTGTGCTCTCTTCTAGCTCACACCATCCTGGTATAGGGCACCCGTGTGCTCTCTTCTAGCTCACACCATCCTGGTATAGGGCACCCGTGTGCTCTCTTCTAGCTCACACCATCCTGGTATAGGGCACCCGTGTGCTCTCTTCTAGCTCACACCATCCTGGTATAGGGAACCCGTGTGCTCTCTTCTAGCTCACACCATCCTGGTATAGGGCACCCGTGTGCTCTCTTCTAGCTCACACCATCCTGGTATAGGGCACCCCTGTGCTCACTTCTAGCTCACACCATCCTGGTATAGGGCACCCGTGTGCTCTCTTCTAGCTCACACCATCCTGGTATAGGGCACCCGTGTGCTCTCTTCTAGCTCACACCATCCTGGTATAGGGCACCCCTGTGCTCACTTCTAGCTCACACCATCCTGGTATAGGGCACCCGTGTGCTCTCTTCTAGCTCACACCATCCTGGTATAGTATCTGCAGTGCGAACAACTAGGTAGGTATTTACATGCTTCTTTCACAGCTAAATCATTCTAGACACTTTACTTTTCTTGGAAGGGTTGCTATCAAAAATCCACTTGAATTCTTCATTTGGGTTGTATAAGCCATTGGTTACTTTAATCTCCCAGTAAAACCTTTCTGGTGTTACATAACTAAAATCAACTTAATAAAACACTTAAAGTGTTACTAAACCCACAGCAGCAAAATCAGTCTGTATATGCAGTAAAGCATGCTTGTTATATACTCACTGTGGAACCTAAGGGGTTAATCCTCTGCATTGTGTAAAAAGGCCATTTGATCCTGACTTCTCTGCTCCTCCTCTTGTTCAAATGTTCACAACTTATCTCCTGATAAGACAGACTGAACCGTAGCCATGCTGCACATGCTCAGTTTTTTGTTTTTTTTTTTTTTTTTGGATAGTGCATGTGATCAGCATAGGGCCAATCAGCACTGTCCAGACAGCGGTCAGGGGTTTTGCCTCCTCCTAGAGCAGAAAGAAAACTCCTCCTACAAGCTTTAACCAGTGCTCGGCTGTACACTGATAAAAGTCACAAGACTGCTCTAACTGCTGATGAGGAAAGGTATTTAGCAGTTTATATTTACTAAAATATTTGCATTTTCATGTTCTGTGTACTGAGGGAGACCAGATATAGTGAATGCAGGGTCCTGGGTTATAGTAACACTTTACAGGTGGTCATAGATGGATCGAAATTCAGAAAGCGCAGCAGGACCAGTCAACTTTCTATACACATGTGGCCACTTCTGCTCAATAGAATTCAATCTAAATATTGACTTCTGTCAGATAGACTTGGTGGATTTTTTTTGTCGATCTGCAGCTGCAGCCAGTGATCAGTGTATTCTGACAGCAGAGAGTCCATGCTGGCAGATTTACTAAAAACTGGTGCACACAAATTCTGCAGCAGCTGTGTATAGTAACCAATCAGCTTCCAGGTTTTTATTGTCAAAACTTATTTGAACAAGCTGAAGTTAGAAACTGATTGGTTACAATCCTCACCTGCTCCAGATTCTGTGTGCACCAGTTTTAGTAAATCCTGGGAATAATTCCTCTATCTGCCACTAATGTGTGGATGGTGGAATCCACTGGCTGAACAAAAAAAAAAAAATGATTTGTCTATGACCAGCCTAAACTCCCATTCAATCCTGAGTGATCTGAAGTGTGTTTCCTGAAGTGCTTCAACACACAACACAAGATTTCTATGTTATCCTATTGTACCCATTCACATCTGAGCAATGTGCTGTCACTCAATGCTCAAAAAAAATTAAGCAATTAAAAAAAAAAAAAAAACACATAATGCTCATTTTTGTTTGCGCGATTTTGTGCCTACCAATTGCTCCTCCTCCTAGTAACTAGCTAACCATTGGCTGAAACAAAAACACTCAAGCCTGAAAATGCCAAATAAAACAAATAAAAAATGTTCCAAGAGCACATGCTCAAGTGTATGAATAGAGGAGAGATCTCAGCGCACAAATGGTTAATGTCCAGTGTTATATGTCCATAAGTCCCAATAAAGTCTATGGTAACCGTTTCAGATAGCAGCCATCCCAGAGTAAGCCAGCTCTCTATACAAAAAGAAAAAGGAGAGGCGCCCTCTGAGTGCAGTATGCAGGGAATATTTAACCACTTGCCGCCCAGCCTATGGTCAAATGACAGCCAGGCGAACACTTTGTCCCTCCAGTAGGGCGTCATATGACGTCCTTCCCGGATCGCGTTCTGCGTGCGCTGTGGCGAGATCTGTCTCCGGCCATGTACCTCGGACACGGTCAATGACAGATCTGTGTACCAGCCCTGTTGCCAGTACCATGTGACCTGCTGTGATCAATCACAGCAGGTCACATGACAATTGTATACAATGGATGGCTTCCTTTCATGCCATCCATTGTATATAAGTGTGTCTTGCTGTGAATGGTCACAGCGATCACATGCACAGGCTGGGCCAATCACAGCCTATCTGTGTCATGTGATTAGCCATGGCAAATCACAGCTAATTAGAACAAAAAAAAACCTGAATGACTCAATTTCATTCAGTTAAATGCTTGCTTATAGCAAAGGAATTCTTTGCTATAGGCAATCAAATTGTGTAAAAAAAGAACAAAATACTGATCACTTCCCCAAAGTAGTACAATGTTACTATGGTAACATTATACTACTTTGGTCATAGTACAATATGAAAAAAAAATCTTAAAAAAAGAGAAAAAGTTTAATAAAAAATAAAAAATAAATAAAAAATTTTTTATTTTTTTTTCATACTGTCACCAGTCATTGTCCCTGATCACCGCTTACCAGTTATATGCTGATGCTGTACTGCACTGGTTACAGTATGTTAAAAAAAAATTGGGAAAATAATTTTTTTAATTTTTTGCGAAAAATTATGACAAAAAATTACAACTTCAAAAAACTCACCGTGCCTGTTATGAAATACGTCGGACTGTCTACTTTGCAAAAAGGGGTCATTTTGGGGATACCTGTACTGTTTTGACATTTTTGAGCCTCAAGAAATTAGACTGGCCGTCAGTACTTCAGGATTGATCAATTTTCAGATATATCCCACAGTTTTTGAACTCTATAACTTTCCTACAGACTAAATAATAAATACTGATTTGGGTTATTTTCACCAAAGACATGTAGCAGAATACATGTTGGCCTAAATTTATGAAGAACAGTTATTTATTTGCAAACTTTTATAACAGAAACAAAGAAAAAACATGGTTTTTTTTTCAAGATTTTCGGTCTTTTTTTGTTAATTTAGCAAAGAATAAAATGCCCAGTGGTGATTAAATACCACCAAAAGAAAGCTCTAGTTGTGTGAACAAAATTATAAAATTTTAGTTTGGGTACAGTGTTGCATGACCGCGCAATTGTCATTCAAAGTGTGAGAGTGCTGAAACCTGAAAGTTGGCCTGGGCAGGAAGGGGGTAAAAAGTGCCGGTATTGAAGTGGTTAATAGACCACAATCGTAAAACTCACAATGTGAAGAAGTTTAGAAAGCCCATCAGTAAACCGTTACTGTGTCCTGCAGGGGTCCATCTCATGGGGTGCTGGCCGCTTAGGATGCCCGAGACCCTGTCACCCTCCTAAGCGGCCAGCACCCCACCAGATGGACCCATGCAGGACACATTCTTCACATTGTGAGTATTACGATTGTGGTCTATTAAATATTCCCTGCATACTGGACTCGGAGGGTGACTCTCTTCTTCTTTTTTTCTTCATGCTCAAGTGTGAATCCATTGCAAAGGACAATGGATAATTCAACTTGTTGTCTTTCACCTAAAAAAATGTGTATTTTGGTGCTCTGACCCTCTAACAAAAAAAAAAACCATACACATTAGTATTAATAATAATATTACCATTACAGTGACGCATAAGGAAATCACTTGAACTCACCCAGTGGCTGGATACAGGGACATGTAGTGGTAGCACCGTCCTATAATAATGTTTCTCAGATTCGGTGTGGTTCCTGGCCCAGTGTACCTTTTTTTTGGTGCTTTCAAATTACGTTGTGCCTCAGCAGCACCAAAACCGGATGCAAGAATTATACCTGCCAGAGCAAGTATACTCTTTCTCCATAGGAGCCTGCTCATCCTCCCTCCTGTATTCATAGTACGGCTGCTAATTAGGACTGCAGCTTTCGAATGTGCTACCCACGCCTGTATGAACAGTCAGACAAGTCAGTGAGCGGCTGCTGCTGAATTTATATTCTATTTGGCCCTCCCTCCCACTCTTGTTTACAGCGTATACAGACAGGTCTTTTGTGAAAATTTGAAAGGGCAAACTCTCTCAGCATGTCAAGAAGTTTCTAAAAGAAAAAAAAAGTGAAACATCCCACAAACTTTATTTCCCCTATGCTCACTGCTTGAACCTTTCATCTCACAGACTACAGCAATATTGACATTTTAGTTGTGGATCTGTTTGGTTCCAGCAATACCCATATGGAAGAAAAATATATTTGAAATATATTTTTAAAATATTCTTTCCAAACATATTGACATATATTTGAAATGCTACACTTTTTGGCCATATTCAATATATTTCAAACTAGAAAAGCTACAATTTCTGGGGAAATTGTGTGAAGTGTTCTTGCCTCCACCAGTACAAGACCCAGACCTACATTTTGATGCATAGTATGTCTCTGAAATATTATCAATGAAGGCACAGTCGCAGTTTAGAAATTGCCCTTCAAATTTGAGGTGGCTAGAGTGGAGTTTCAATGAATGTCAATGGGCGGCGTGAGTTGCAAACAAATGGTCATATTGTGAAAACTATCAGGACTATGGCTTAGCATTTTTAGTGGCAGCAGGGATAGCTGAACGTTTTGATATAAGATTTGTGTAGGTGGGCTTGAAAATGAGGGAGTGATGTCAGTTTAGAAATCATGTCCTGATTTTTCAGCTCACACTCTAGCTTTTGTCAGCTCACACTTTAGTTTTGAACATTCCACCATTCATTCCTATGGGACCAATTTCACCACAAAAATGCCACTATTTCGTGAACCATTCGGCAAAACGTTCCACAAAGTAATAGCACACCAATCGGGAACAATCCACACGTTTCGGGATATTACTGTCTATGTAGTATAAAAAGTGTGGGAGGAGTTAGGGTGGTAAATTTGTCTATAATAATAAGAATATATATGTGAGATAACAGTAAGTGGTCTTGCCATGCAAGAACACTTAAATATATTTCACTGCAATGTAAAGCATCAGCTGCAGTGGTGTAAAGTACGCCGCCACTTGACTCTAGAGCAGTAGAGACATGTTCTCTGGAGTGACGAATCACGCTTCTCTGCCTTGCAATCTGATGAACGTGTCTGGGTTTGGCAGTTGCCAGGAGAACGGTATTTGCCTGACTGCATTGTGCCAAGTGTAAAGTTTGGTGGAGGGGGGATTATGGTGTGGGATTGTTTTTCAGGGGTTAGGCCTGGCCCCTTAGTTCCAGTGAAGGGAACTCTTAAGGCATCAGCATACCAAGACATTTTGGACAATTTCATGCTCCCAACTTATTGGGAACAGTTTGGGGATGGCCCCTTCCTGTTCCAACATGACTGCGCACCAGTGCACAAAGCAGAGTCCTGACCTCAACCCGATAGAACACCTATCTCACATCAGTGCCTGACCTCACAAATGCGCTTCTGGAAGAATGGCCAAACATTCTCATTGACACACTCCTAAACCTTGTGGACAGCCTTCCCAGAAGAACTGAAGCTGTTTTAGCTGCAAAGGGCGGGCCAACTCAATATACTCAGAACCCTACGGACTAAGAATGGGATGCCATTAAAGTTCATGTGCATGTGGCCCAACACTTTTAGAAATATAGTGTATTTGTTACATTAAGAGGTGTGATGTAGTGAAGTAATGCAGAAAAGAGGTTGAAATGCACTTTGACTGGACATTTGCTCATTCTTGGTAACAGGCCTTGGGCCAGGAATGTGTGCATTTCAGGCCTCAGACCAGGAGTAGTGTGAAACAATTTAGTGGAGGACCGCCAAAACAAAAGGTAGGTGGCTGTCCCATCCAAGAAGAAGCAGCTTTGTGTAAACTGCCAACCAATGAGAGGAACCCTCACAAGGTGACACTGGCTATTGTTATAAGATGCAGAAATGACCTGAATGACCAAATAATGCTTAAAATTCCCCAACATCGCTTGCTGTCTGTACCCTTGAAATATATTACTTATCTAGATGTGTGTTATGGACGGACTTGTAGGTTTGGATAAGAAAAGTTGCACATGTGTTCAAACTACGGGTACCGCCAGTAGCCCTCCGGTGTGGGCCTTCCTCAAAAAATAATAAAAGGATAGTTTCTATTGTGACATATTCACTTACGCAGTTCAACTCATGGCGGTGCTCTCCCTTGCCTTGCCAGACGCTTGTCATTGAATAGGTCACTGATGGCAATAAAGAAGATGAGTCCAGGCTGCTTTTTAGAAGTTAACTTGCTTGCGACTACATAAAAAAGACATTCTTTCAGTTGTCAGCTTTGCACATGAACTTTCCTTTCTATGCCCTACGCTGAACCCAACTATGTGACAGGATGCCATGGCGTTCCCCAGCCGAAGAAAGACTACTCAAGGTCCTACATTGCTGCTTTTCAGGCCCCACCAAATCCCATGAGGTCCACACCAGGAACATCTGCTCTACTCTGTCTCAGCATAGAACCTGCTCACTTCTATTTATACTAGAGACGTACACGATGAAAAAATGTGTTTCATTTTGGATTAATTAGTTAAGTAAATAATTTTGTTTTGTCATATTTGTTATGTTAGAATGATTTGTTTTTCAGGATTTGCTTTGTATATTCAAATTTGTTTTGTATATTCGGATTTGTTTCATATAAAAAAAAAAAAAAAAGATACGACACAGCAAAAGAAAAGTCTGGGGGGGGGGGGGGGGATACTACACTCACACAGAGGCAGTCATGCTTGAGCTGATAGTCATAAAACTGTTGGATAATGAGTGAGGAATCCCATGTCCAAATTCAGGCCGTTATCTCTTGTGTCAAATAGAATTATCATTCTTAGTTCAAAAGTTTTTCTTTCCTGAATGGATTTGAAATTTCCTTTAAGAACTAAAACATTGAGGTCTCCCAAAGTGTGGTTCGGTTGTGCGAAATGGTGTCCCACAGGTGTGCAGAGGTCATCTTCTTTATGTTCCTTGATGGTATGTCTGTGCAAATTCATCCTTGTTTGCAACTTCTGTCCTGTTTCGCCAACATAAGATCCTTTGCTACACTTTCTGCACTGGATAGGGTACACAACATTACTGGAGGTGCACCTGTATGATCCGGAGATATTGAAGATCCCTTTTGAGTGTCTGACACTTTTTGATGGATTGATTTGGTTGCACAGTTTGCAGCGTTTCTTATTGCAGGGTTCGCTTCCATTATTTGTGACCTCATAATCAGAAGGAAGTTTCCTAGTGATTAGTTTATTTCTGAGGTTGGGGGGTTGTCTGAAGGCCAGTATTGGTGGTTGCTGGAATATTTCTTTCAGAGTTCCATCCTCTGTTATGATGGGTTGTAAATCTTTGATTATTTTTCTTATCCCTTCTAGGGCTGGGTTGTATGTGGTTACTAGAGGTACACGGTTGTTTGGTTTTTTCTCCTTGTACTGAAGTAGATTTTCTCTTTGGGTTCTCAAGGCTGTGTTTATGCTGGTGTTGATAGTTTTGTCCTTGTAATCTTTCTTATGGAAGGCGTCTGCTAGTGTCCCGAGATGTTTATCTCTGTCTCTTGGGTCAGAACATATTCGGTGGTAACTAATGGCCTGACTGTGTATGATGGCACGTTTCGTGTATTGGGGGTGGAAGCTGGAACTGTGGAGGTAGTTGCATCTGTCGGTGGGTTTCCTGTATATTGAGGTGTGAAGCGTATCATCCCTGATGTATACTGTGGTGTCTAGGAAGTTGACGTGTGTGTTTGAGTATTCCATTTTTAGTTTGATTGATGGATGAAAAGTGTTGATCAATGAGTAAAAATGTTTTAGGTATTCTTCACCTTCTGTCCATATGATGAAAATATCATCAATATAGCGATAGTATCTGTATGGTTTTTGTTCCATTCTGTTCAGGAATTTTTCCTCCAGGTCAGCCATAAATAAACTGGCATATTGGGGTGCCATTTTACTTCCCATTGCAGTATCTATACATTGAAGATAGACGTCTTTATTGAAGGCAAAGTAGTTGTGTGTAAGTATGAATTCAATGAACTGTGTAACATCCTCAGCAGTGTATTTATGGTTTGGTGAGGATGATAAGGATCTGTGACATGCAGCTAATCCATCCTTGTGAGGGATATTACTATACAGGGATACTACATCCATAGTCACTAGAAGTGTATTAGATGGTAATTGCTGTATGTTGTTGATCTTGTTCAGAAAGTCAGTTGTGTCTTGCAGAAAACTAGCAGTATTCTTGACTAACGGTTTTAAAAAAATTTTCTACAAAGCCTGAGATTTGTTCGGTGAGTGTATTCATACCTGTTATGATGGGTCTGCCTGGACTTCCTGGCTTGTGGATTTTGGGCAGCATGTAGAAGTCCCTGATTTCTGAATGATCCGGAATCGCATTTATAATTGGATCATCCAGAAATCGGGGACTTCTACATGTTGCCCAAAATCCACAAGCCAGGAGATAATGGCCTGAATTTGGACATGGGATTCCTCAATCATTATCCAACAGTTTTATCACCTCAAGCATGACTGCCTCTGTGAGTGTTGTCTTCCACCCCCCCCCCCCCCCCCCCCAGACTTTTCTTTTGCTGTGTCTTATCTCTCTTTTTTTTTTCCTCCCTATCCCCTACATCTCTTCCAACATTCTGCTAAATCTGTGTTCAGTACTGCTTAGACCTGAAGAAGGGGACATTCCCCGAAAGCTTGTCCTCAAAATTGTATGTTAGTGTAAATAAGAAAAGTATCACGGACAGTACTCAATTGTTTCTGTCGCAAATGCACTAATACGGCTACAATCACCTCGCTTGTGGTACTGAAACTTTACCTCGAGCTACACTCGGGAATACCGCCAGGGAGGCTACATCTGTGCTCTTTTTCCTTCATTGCCCAATCAGAGGAGTGGGGGTGTGTTCTGGAC